CTTCGTCGCAGGGAATCACATCGATGGCGCTGATTTCTCCATTTTCTGGTGTGGTACCCGGCGCTGTGCACTTTCCGTAGCTGATTGACTTGGAGGAAACTGTTGCTACTGCAAGCAAGATTGCAACTAAGAAGAGTGCGGCTCTCATTTTGCTTCTGGTTCGTAGTACAGGGTTAACCGTAGTACAGTCGAGTTTAAAATGAGAGGTGTAGTTTTGGTCAAAGTGCATATATCCGGTGTCAGCAAACAACGTGTTATGTATTTCGGAACTAGTGGTCACGCAACACTCAACGGATTTCGGTTTTACATCAAAGGGTTACAGCGGACCTTTGAGAAGCAACATCGCTGAAAGGACCTGAAACACGAGAAATCTTTCGGGATAAAAAGTGTGTGGTTAGTACTTACATTACCTTATCCTGCAAAAATCCAGTTTAATCACTGACTGAACTAAACGTATGACTTACTGCGTGACCAGTAGTCACGTTACACTTTTACATCAAGAGTTNACTACATGGCGCGCTTTGTCAGCAAGAAGTTATCAGGTCTTTTCAGGTACGCTGCTAAAAGACGTTATGTTTTGGTTGGATAATTATAAAATTCCCCATCAAAATCAAGAGATCGGATTTTTCGCTTGTGTGTCCCTATAATACTGGAGCAGAGATTAACGAATGAGTGAAAAAATTTATGACATATAAAAGGGTGGAAGCCATAAATAAAGTACAGACCATCAGAGAAGTGATACAACTTTATCGAAGCCCGCGTACCAATCCTTCCCGTAAGAACGAAATAGTTGCCACCCCCTCTACGTCGAGGTTTTGCTCTCGCCCCAATTTTTGCGCGACCAGCAGGCGAGAAAATCTTCGCTCCTACGGGATCATCCGAAGTCGAACATCATCAGAGATCTTTCAAAGAGTGAATGAAAACACGGAAAGTTTCCGAAGATTTTTCGGAATCTTTTAAAAGTTTCAGAAGATCATGATCACCCGAGATCATACGAATATTGCCAAGCATACCCGCCGATATTTGAGACTTAACAAAATTACCGAACAAACATGTGAAGAATACAGAAAATCAAAGGAGAATTTCGGAAGATTGCTTAGGGCCTTAAGCTTCCATGGAGCGCAGTGG